CAAGGGCTAATGAAAATCTTGCAAAGCGTAGAGCCACTATAACGATGGCATTAATAGTGAAGCCTTGACAGTTTGGCATGTGTTGTGGAGTATGGCGGGATCGTAGACGACCGATGATAGGAACTGATAACAGCTGATAACGACTGATAAGAGCCCTTATCAACTGATTTCAACTCCTGTGGTATCTACGATGTATTTATGATTACGACTATTATATAGATTACGACCGCTACCCAACAAGGTTTGTAACTCGGTGGAAGATCAAGGTTACTTTATGTTTTGATATCATTTACGCCAAAGCTCATCCGACCGCCGATAGTTTGGGGTTGCCAACTAATGATGTACCCGTGGAGGAAAGAGGGTCCAGTGATAACGACATCTGATAATGGTAGGCATGTGTTGCACGCATTAGCGTGCGCAGCCCAACTGGTGTATCATAACTTTGGAAGAACTTTATTAGAAAGCTCAAGCACAAAGACTATAACGCGAAGGAAGGGTCACTTTATTAATTGGTTTAATTGTTACTAGGAAATGAGCACATCATTTGCTATATTCAAACCACACGCCATCCGTAACAACCCGAAATATAGTTTTTATCACGATTCAATTTATTCAGCGACTCGATGTCTTCTTTGCTCAGTTGGTAGTTTGTCACCTAAACCACAAAAAGTAAACAAAGGCAGAGAAAATACGAAAGTTTCGGTTGGTTGATGTATGGGTGCTAGGATGGAAGGAAGTACTGTAATGAGAAACGGTGCAAAAGGGAAGGGGTTGTGTTGAGAAGTTTTGCTATGCATATATTTCTGGGTTTGAGGAGCACCTTAGGTGAGAGGTCCACAAACACGACCAGCGATTACTCGATGCTGCTGGAGAATAGCGAAATGCAATGGTGGCCTTCTGAACGATTCAGAGGAAAGCTATCAAAGGTTTGCATCCTTCAGCGCCTCAGCAGGAGGCTTGCAGAACCTCTTTTTGAGGCGCTTTCAGCTACACTGAGGTGCATAATTCTTTTTTTTCGAAGTATGCTTAGTAGATTAGACAATTTAGCCTTTGGTTTTTTCAATTTTTCCCCGTTTTCAATAATGGCACACATTTCATTAATGCTATTGTTTAGGCAATATACATACAACGGTAGGCTTGGAATAGCATCAGAGTTACAATAAAAAAAGTGTTATATTCCTATTTACATGAAGGATAATAAGGCGGGAAATGGGGGAGCGAGGGGAATGACCGGTCCAGAAATTGAGGCGAGCGCTAATTGCTTACTGTGAGAGGATTCCGATTGGAAAATGGTCACCGAATCCGACGCTTTTTTCAGCTGTTTCGCCACTCTCTAATTTAATTCATCCCATAATAAACTTACATATTTTATGGTATATTTCATTTATTCTGATCGTCCTAACCCAGACCCACAACAGTTAGCAAGATTAGGAAGAAGGTTCGAAGAGAAGTATTAAAACCTCTAGAAAAATCCTGAGCTCAAGAACATTTATGTATTGAACATGTTCCCATAAAGTAGCTCTACTAGCACCTGGTCTTCTGCGATAAGATATCTGCTTCAAAATTGATACAAACCTCCATATTGGTCTTGAGTTCTTGCGGGATGGTGGACTTGGGTATGATCCCTACACCTTGACTCAGCGCAAACGACAATAGAATCATCCAAAATATAAACATACATATTTGGAATTACGAAAGTTTTAGTAATTGAAAAAGTACCGAAACTGTGGTTTTTCGAGTTTTCGCTAAATTCACCACCACCTCATCATTAACAAGTGCCGGTGCTTGTCGAGCTAGTGAAGCGAATGCCTGAAATAATGCTTACAAATGGCTATCCTACCTGTCTTTCGTTGCTATCAGCTTAGGATTAGGTTCTTTCTACATCTGACGGAACCAACCTTCTATAGCGTACTGTTAATAGTTACGTAGGAATAATACCGAAGCTCTTTAGTGTTGGCGTTTAGATGGTTATTGTTTGTCCGGTTTTATGTGATAGCCATTCACATGGGTGTTATAGGAAGCGCGTGAAATGACATAAAAGTGAAGTCCTATTAATATCGAATAAAAAATGAATCTGCGACGGTGCTGTCCTCAGCTCGCTTTTTCAAAATTCACTGCCACCGCAAGTATGGTGGTAGTGAACCAATCATTCCCTGTCTACTTGAACCATTTTCTCGTTTCCAGCACTTGTACGATTGCTAACAATATCATTAGGTACGTTATTCAGACAGAATTTCTTATTCACATTTGAACGTCTATTTGGTTTGATGCCGAGTCACTTCCCTTCCAAACGGCGTTACAAAAATCGAAACGAAAAGGTTCCACTAGAAGTATTTCAGTGGGGTTTAATGGAGAGGGTAGAGAACCGGTAACGCTCGAGTCGAACTTGGTACTGCTCCCTTCGGTAGAATGATGCCATCTTGGATTGGCATCCGGATCAAGGGCCAGAATCGCCAACGGACAGCTTGTGAAACCATACCGATTGGTACATTTTGGTGGGACATTTTGCGCTTCTTTTCAGGAAGTAGTGGGGAAAGCAGGAGTCAAAGACGATCACTGCCAATTCCACCCTTTATAGCTTCAACTGCATAGGATCACGTTCCTCCGAACACTCAGAGTATCAGGATTAGGTGTGCACTTAAGAATGTGCGTGGTACCGACAAACACACCCGGAACCCTTGCCTTAGGTTGCGCATATATTACATTAATACCATGAAATACTAACTCTAAAATCATGTCAGTATCTGGCACTATCAAACTTTTTCAAATGTATCGTCTTCTGCGGTAAAGGTCCATCTTGTTCATGCCCATAACACCTCCCGGTGCGAAATGCAGAAAACGAACCTGGAAGAAGATACCCTCCTTCTTACAGTACTCCTTCAGTTCGTTCCTTGTGAAATGGGGATGGTACTCCACCTGATTAACGCACGGCATCATCTGGCATAAATTTGCAGTTATTTGGACAACGGAATCATAAGCTTCACCCCATGAATTCTTCACAACAAGCACTTCCAAAAATATGTATGTGGCCGCTACCTTTCCATAATTTTTGATTTCTTCTAGATGCCGAACTTCATAATTTGAAACACCAACAGATCTTATTTTGCCTTCACCTGTAAGAAAAAGGGGAATTTACCTGTAATAGGAAATAAAGTTAAACAGAGACCCTCTTTATCAGTACTCCCTGTGGGTGAGCCGCAAGAGTACTCAAACTTGGCCCAAAATTCCATTCAACACAGTGAAGATGATGAGAAATATATCTTGCACGTCTGCAGTAGCGAAATATGCTCTCATTTCTTGCTTCGCTTGCGCACCCCATTGATTTCAATCGAAGCTCTGCTATGAAGGTGTCTGGCGTACCGGGGGTACGGTACGCTACCATCCTGTACCGTACCGCACTTACGGCGACAGCGCTCGACTCATTGCTATGGCGCCGTTCACCATCAAAAACTCAATAAATCTCGTTTTGCTCCTTGATTACAAGGGAATCAATAATGTGAGCTTGCTGAGCGGTGGGAAAAAAGCACGGTTTTGTAGCAGTCCTGATACGGTACCTGCTGCTCGTCTCGTGATTGGTCTGTTTATTTGTTTATTTTGTGATCTGCCTCCTCATTCCACTCTCATACACAAATGTAGTGACACTTCAAATTTTTCGCACATGTTTCAGGTTGGTCAACTGTTACAGGTTTCAAATGCTATGTGGCCTATACAAAGACGTGCGACGACAACGCACGACTCGATGCTTTTATCTTCCTTGAAGGATTTCGATATCATCTAAATNNNTTGACTTTGGTCACAAGGCCATGTTCGTGTGATAGTTCGCCACCTCCAACTTATGAAAACAAAAAACCTTTCAATTTCTCAAGCTCCATATATGTGAGCTTTCGATGAAGCGGATTCTTTTCGTCTTTCTCCTCGGAAGATATAGCTTTAGGGTAGTGAATAAGAACCATATCGATGTAACTGAAAAAAAAGTGCTTAGGTCATTTAAACGTCTATGACGCAGTGAACACCCACTCTGTTTTGAAGTTCTCAAGTGATTCCTTAATAAGCAGTCTAACGGCAGTCGACGTATCATCTTTTTCAGGGTATATCTTTGTAGTGATAAAGACATCAGAGCGTGAAAGACCGTGCTTTGGAAGCAATTCCTGAATCGCTGATTCTTTACCGAAAGGAATGAACAGGTGTGATTGCTTTGTAGGCATTACCGCTAGAGCAGTTCCCAACTCGGGCTCATTATTGTAGAGCTTCGCGGAATCAAACAAGCGGTAACCATTGCTCAATGCTGCATCTACAGTAGGTTTTACCTGAAGTTTGGTTCCGTTGACATAATACTTACTTAAATGGTAATTCTTTTTGGAAACTGCCACAGGTGTGACAAATAGGAAATCACTCGGTTTTGTAGTGCACTCACCGCATCTGCTGTGACTTTGTAAGTTCCGAGACCAACTAGTGGGATATAGAAGCCCGTGTTGAGTTTAGCAGAGCCTCCACGTGCTGATTGCAAAGACGATG